CTTGACTTTTTATGATGTTATGATTGTCTTAATGTGGTTTAGTGCGTGACGCATTCTTTCGAACATACACGGATCTGACGGTCAGACGGTCTTTGTTCTTCCTCTCGATCTGGGCGATCTGGGAACGTAACAATCTGAATGATCGAAATACGTAAGAGAACAGTGTTTCTGAAGTGAATTTGTTCACCGTATCGTCAGGACGGGAGAGAAAGTACGCCGGGTAGATTGATTGTGTTTCGGACACCCTAGCTTCAGTTATTTAAAGAAAAACCCTTCAGCGTTATTCGGAGCTACGGAGGTCACAACGAGAACTGAAGATATTCAGCGGGTTGCAGCTTCCTCCGAGAGTATGTGGGAACATTCATTCAGAAAACTTATCACAGAATCGATTCTTTTCATAACATACTGTTTCGTGGTCAATAGGTTTAGATAAAACAAACTTTGGGACTATGATGACTGTTGGATAAAAAATGGCTTCGGACTTTGAGATACGTTGAAACAAACTCGTGAAGAGAGTGATTTCAGAGGTGTCTGCATGAGGTCGACGGCGATCTATGACGTTTTTTGGAGATAATCTCAGTATACAGTCAACATACAATCGATGATCCATACTCGATTTGGCATACGTGGTCATCTGCATGTTGAATTCAGTCGCAAAGCCACTTTAATGAGAGAAACTGTTATTGAAGTAAAATGAAACTGATCTTTCATTTAGTGCATCTCATTCACAGTAATTTCCCAATCCACAATTCTCGGCTTTGATAATTCTCCCTGCTGTCTGCTCATACATTTCTGGTGAACACATTTACCGCTGTGGCTGCTGACCCACATTGAACTGGCGTGGGTTTTTTACTCAGGGTGACACACGTACACGCCCACGCACATAATGACTAGGACCAGTAGTGATTGACTTACTGTGCTAAACGTGCAATTACTTTCTCCGTTCCGGAGTTATGCACTTTTTGTGTCTTTTATTATTACTTAGGTGACGATAATTCACTATCCACATTTTGCAGCGTCAGTACAAGCCTGTCTGACTCTGGCTAATAACGGCCCCAGTAGCGAAAGGAAACGATGTTTGATACCGCGATCTTCACACACCGCCCCGCTACCTTGGGGGCCAGGTTTTGGCTAGCCGAGGGCTTTGGTTGCGAACCCCCTTTGAAAATTCACCCGCACTGGCATGCACAACTTAGCAGTAGCGTGCCCTCGAGCCAATCATAGCACTTTTCTTTAAAAACATTATTGTACCGTGATTTGTTTGTCACGCAGTCTGAACTCAGGCGTGTGTGAATGTAAAATATACTTTATATACCGCGGATTCCACTTGGCACTATGCTTGCCGTGTCCAAGATGTATTGATAGGCGAAGCTGCGCTGCCTTCCCACGAGGGGAATAGTCTCCCAGAGGACGACAAAGCAAGAAGAAAATCTCACCATTATGACATTCCGTGTGTAATGGCGCCGGATGAGGCCGCTGGCTTTGTAACTCAGTCACATCCTGATCGTGTAAATTCAGATGGTGCGTATCCCTCAGGTGCCGAAACTTAAAGGAATAAAGGATTTAGAAACAAACAGGAGGGGGAGGGATCGGGGAAGTAGCAGATAGTAACGCCGATATGAAGGAAAAAAGAAAAAATGCGAATCACCAAATATGTATGATACTTACTTTTCCTGTTCATAGGAGAAGTCTACTGCTTATTCACAAGTGTGTTTATATATATATATATATATATATATATATATATTGAGAAATATGCAAGTTCTGTAGCTTAATCCTAAGATCTTATTAGGTCAATGGTAATGTATACAATGTGGTCAACCACATTGTGTAAGCTAATTGATAGCGATACAAAGGCAGGGGTTAGATACATTTTAGATATGTCTGTGATCGATGCAAGTGGGAATTACTTAACTGTTAGCAATATCGTATGATTTCATAGACGTGCTTGCAAGTGAATGGCTCGGTTTTCAGAAGTTTCCTTGTTGNTCCTTTGCGCTCCCCTTTTCGAGAAGACCAGTGTCTTCATGAACATTTCCTAGGTAGTTGGTAAGGCTCACTCTTTTATTTTGTTCTATTTTATTTTGATTTGATTTTTTATTGCATTTAGACTGACAAAAACACAAGGCAGTTATTTCGTTCACGTTGAGACTCATTCGAAATGCTCACACTTTGTATCCCAGTCGAGAATCAAATCGCGTCTATTGGGGTTAATATTCGAAACCTTGGCTTAGGAATTGGAGCAGACACGGATCTGAGATCTCGAATTAGAAATTGCAGATGAAATACAGAATCTCACTGATAATCTTATGCCGGTAACTCCCATTACCGAGATTGGGGAAGAAGGCCACGAAGGTAACGGTTCATTTATTGAAATAAATGAATGGGGTTAAGTAATATGCCTATAGGAATCATCAAATCATCAAACAGGACTCAGCCACACGCCGGTCTTGTTCTCCGAGTCACACGACTCGTTTGAACTGAAGCACCTCTGATTGATCGATATCATTGGCCTGTAGTAGTTTGTCCAGAAACTGGTACACGTTGACTGGTGCTATATTGGAGGATGGAATCACCCCTGATCCGTACGGCTGACAGACAGTAGNNTGTGTGTGTGTGGTTTCATCCATATGGGAAAGTTGTGTTTGGTTAACCATTTGATTCTTGCACGCCTTTGGCAATGCTTGTGGTCTTTTAGTGTCGAGTAATGGATGAATTCTCTAGGCCTGAAAACCACGAACACAGCACTCTAGACCCATACGGATATTTTGTCGCCTACGCTGATTGAATGGGCTCAAGGATCCCTCGGTTTTTGCCCCAAGCTTTCGAATTCATTCATAAAACACGTACGCATGTTTAAGCCTATAAGACGTGAGTCATTCTATGTGAATGGATTTTAGTGGTCAATTAATGAATTGAAAACAATACCAACTATCATGAATAATAAACACACACAAAGCCAACGTATACGGCGGAACAAACAGAAAACATTGTATTCCCTTTCTTTTAATACTCTGTTATTGCTTGTCTTGTACTGTATCGTGTTGCACCATGCTTGTTCACAAGTCAGTGATAAATATACGTGTGTAAATCAAGAACGAAACATATTGAAACAAAGGCATTCTGGTTTCGAAGACAGCGGTTAGGGGGATTTTACTCCTGGGGTAGAACACACCAGGGTGAAGGAAGACGGTCTCGTACTATCTGTTCTACGCATGTCCTGCATAGTCAGTTTGCCATCTCTGCCATCCTGGGACATCCTCGGATGCCAGGAATCAATTATGGTTAGAAAGGTATGTTGATCGAGGGAAACAACAACTAGCGTGACCAGTTGATGAATGGATGAAAAAGATGCATTTACGTTAGTAGGAAGTGAACGTTCGAACCGCAGTCACGTGGCATGAGTTGAGCTAGCAGTGCTGCCGCCCCAGTGGCTCTCACAATGAATGACTAGACAGTTAGAAATTAAATACTAATTCTCATGAAACTGCATTTGATCAATGTGAACCAACGCGATCACGAAAACAAAGAACCAGAAACAATCCGACTATGTTCATTTACATGAGTCTTTGACACTACTGTAGAAAATTTAACTCTCTTACCTGATCTTCCGTCATAACAAGTCGGATTCGGGGTGCGCGTAAATGATCGGCCGGATAGATTGTTTGATAACCCGTCGACCGCGTAGTTCGCGCTGTATGATATCGTCGAGCCAACGCCTCCCGAAAGGCTATTCGTCCGGTGGGATTCATTGGTTTCCTGGCTGCTATTGAAACGTTGTCTTTCACGCATTCGTGACCAGTTGGCTGAGGTCCCACTGTTTTCTTTTCACACGAAGTTTGTGAACAGCAACTTAAAAGGAATAAGGGAGATGAAGCAAGCAGTCTGTGACTGATTTCAAGAAGCGCCTGATTACAGTTGAGAAATTGGCATTGGCTTTGGGGATCGTTTAAGTAAATAGAAAAAATATTGAATGAGCAAACAAATAGGCATAGACAAGGAAAGTAAACGAGTGGGATGAAACAAGGAAGTATTGAAGGATGTGATTTGAGTGGACGAAGAAGTTCATCGTATGCAGAAAAAAATCAACAAGGATAGTGGGGCTGGTGAGAAGCATTGGATAAATGTTTAGAACTCGTTGAGTATCATTCAGGAACGGCAAATTTATCTACCCAACTGGGGACCCAACTTGTTCTGGCGTAAAATCATACTAACCAAATGATCACCGGGCATCAGGTGATCAGACTGTTTTACTTTATCCGTACTCAGTGTAGCAAAACCCGTTATTACTTACTTACTTATCGCGAGCATCTAATCATTCGGTCGGTGCTTTCCGGATTTTCAGTAAAGTTTTCGTTTGCTCTGTATACGACTATATACATCCTGAAATGACTGCCTTCCAGCCTGTTTGGACAGATTCAACTAGTCTTACGTTGGAGTCGAGTGGTCATGCCCTTGCGGTCTGCTTAGTAGGCCCGGGGGAATGACGGGTGCGAAAACTTGAAAAGTATATATTTAATGGATTAACAAATTAATTAAAGGTCATGCATTTTAACAGTTGTTTCATCCAAGCTGTAGTCGTATTCATTCAACCCGAAGCCTTGAATTCCAGAAGCTTTCGTCTGAATGCAGTCACCGTTAGAATGACATGGACTGTAAACAGGTGCAACCTATGGGGCGATCAACACCTATACACATCGGACGAAATCGTGGACCAGTTTCGATGGCTAGACTGGCATTATCTGCCTGTAAGATCCCAACGTCCCTTGGGCATGACAATACGATAAAAGGTAATCGAGAAAACTTCTGGAACAAAGTTACCTCCCACAAACTGTTTGGTATCTCTTATGAGGATTTTGTATGATTCTCCGCTTTTGGGTAAAGCACAATGGTCAGGTTTTAGTAATACGATAATCTAGTGAAAAGTCTGAATGCGCGACTTTTATTGATTAACTCTTAACCAAAAGAAAATATGATAGAAAACGGAAAACAAGAAACATGACAAAAGTATCGTCCCCCCGACCAGGATGTTCGATGAAAATAGAACGATTCAGTGGTACGCAAAGCGACCGTTTCACTTCTGGAACTCGGCACACGTTTTGGGCATACCCTATACGAGATTCCAGAACACTTCATAATTGACAGTTAGTCAATATCGGTCTAACGCGACCTCTAGTCCACCCCTAGATTCAACTATTAGGGTGGTAAAATGAGCGAGTTCAGTAATTCGTGATAAGTTTGCAAATATGGTGTGGTAATTCAGCTCTACGAGATGACGCCTACCCTGAAGCGGCGCGTCACAGTTTTCGGACTCATGCGATCAATCAAATTTGAATGCTGACGTCAATGACACGTACGGCTTCCGACTACACGCCATAGGCAGATCGTACCAGCCAATCCAACACAGTGCAGACAGAAGCAGGATTATGCAAGCAGTACTGAAATCCGATTGGCGGAAGCCTATATAACCAATAATCTTCTTTTATACATATTATTCAATCGCCCTCATTTCTTTCAATAAACGAACTACGTACTACTATTCCTGTGGCCTTTTCCTCGCGTCTCGTTCTCGTGGGACATTGCGAACCTGTGCCATTGCGGTCCAGTGCTTCTGCGATCCAGTCCGTGATAGCTGATTATTGATTCGGATCCTGTGATCCATATTGCGTGGTTGGCGTTCCGAATTTCGTGCGTGTAACTGCTACTACTACAATCATCACATATGGCCTGTGTTATATAGTACAGTTGCCCGATATTCCAGTTGACTGTAGGCTTGCAATCTTCTTCTGAGGTTCGGGGCTCGATCCTCCGTGGACTCTATGGGTTTACCCAATTCAATCAACTGTCCGGTTCTTCCCCTCTGTTTCGTTCCTCGTCCATCAAATTCACCGTGTAAATAAATTCAGTTCTTCACGAATCCTTTGCACAAAGAACTCTTTGAAAAGTAAACTTCTGTTAATCTGTACCCGTTTGCAGAATGAAGATACGATGAATTCCGTTTTCCTGTGCAGAGCAAATAAGACGTGAACTGAAAAGCTAAGCCGTTGTTTCGACTTGGTTAGGTCTTATCCGCAATGCGTGAACCCAACTCTCGTACAGACAGCAGAAAGTATAATTATTGTTTGTTATTTATTCCCTTTTCTGTCACTGAACACAGTGTTACGTCTGCGGTCACACGGTTAACAGGAAGAATACTTTCAGACCAGTAACTCGGTTAAGAACAAGTGGAACGTTTGTCCAGACTCATAGAACATTTCAGAGAGTATGCTTGATAATCGACCATACTATATGAGAGCAGAAGCAGGTGGTGATAAAACAATCGGTCGGAATAGGGTGAATAGGGTCATGAGCTCTGGGCAAACGGGCCGGAGTATTGGACTTGTGGTAAATACGAGGTATTGAAATGACTTTTAGTCCACACCACTGAATCATCAATATGACTTCATATTTCGGCGTGGTTCTCATCGTTACATTTTTTGCACGCGTTACACATTTTTTTCAAGTCAAGAAGCGGCTTTAATTCTCCCTATAGGGGATGAACATTCAGCTACTTCACAATCACTCTTCTTTGGAAAAATTAAATGGTAACAAAGCGTATGGTGATACGTTACATATACAAAAAGCCAATTTAGCATAGATTTTGTCTAAGAGTTCCAATGACAAGACATTCAA